TGACCTACAGCCAATGAGAGACCAAGATACAGGGCAGCGGGAAGTTTGAGGAGGAGTTATATGAAACGTAGTTTGCGGACCAGTGTTGCCAAATCCGTGATTGCCGTCGGTTGTTTTTTATGTCAGCAGGTTAAAGCGACCCCAATAACGTGCTATTTCGTCCCTGGAATGTGAATTGTACCAGGAGAAAATTTGTATTTTACCCCCGAACGCGATTTTTTATTGGGGGCCCCGCCGAAAGAAATTGGGCTATTTTCAGGCTAGTTTTGAGTAGTAATTGGGTGGGTTTTGTAGCGAAAACCCGGCAACCCTGCACCAGACAGAGCTGTCAGTGATTCTTCCTATTGTGAAGTCATGCAATGTGAAACCCCCTGTTGCCGATCCACCGTGCAATGTGAACACAGCAGCAACTGAATGCTACCCCAGATAGTCACGCAGTGTGAAAACAACGGCGATCTGATGAGTTTGAAAATCGTGCAGTGTGAACTCGGCATTACCCTACCCCTAAACCTACCCCTCACAAAAAACTTAATTCTATATGCTTTATAAGCTGCTTTCCTCATGGGGGCCAAAAATGTCCTTTAGGTATACCAGGTACACACACAGAGAAGAGGCTATCTGTGTTTGAACTGACAAAAGCATCCTGATTGATATCTGTCCTGTATGGTAAGATAGACAGCATCTCAACTGAACTGAAGCAGTTTAAACAGTCTAAATGTGCGAGATTAAACTGGTCAAACAGAACTGGTGTTATGGGTCTCTAGAGCTGACAGAATCCAGACTGGTACACTCTGTCAAGCCCTTTGATGCCTTTGCCACCAAAACTCCCCCAACCGTCCCCAGTGCTCCAAGCCAATTTCACATCAGCCCAACCAGACAAAGAAGAAGGCGGACCTGCAGATACCATTGTACCCTGCAGGCACGGGCCTACGGGCCGGCCAGCCTGACTTTAATACCATGTGGCAAAGGCAGCGTCTGACAGATGTTTCCTGACACCGCCATCCTACAGGAGCAAAGCCCAATGCATGCACATTTGACTTTGTGTTGTCATAATGACAGTGATGGTGGAAGATGATGTGTGTGTGTTGTTGTGGTGGTAATGGATGGAGAAATAAATCAAATGAGATCTAGAGTCCTGCTGCAGTGTCATTAGGAATCGTGTCACGCACCTCCACCGAGCGTACGCCACTGACGCAGAGAAACGGTGGGCCAGCTGGAGGAATCTGAATTTCCCCTGCGTGCTTTCAAGACGGACTGGAGTTTGATGGATTGGATGGGAGAGGCGCAATGATAGCCAGATCTGCATCTGGATAGCATTGGTATTTTTTATTCGCCTCACACTCTCACTCGCACGTTCTCTCGGTAAAGAGGTTCAGTAGATAAGGTCATCTTGGTGCACAATGTGTGTGTGTGTGTATGTGAGAAAGAGAGAGACAGGAGAAGAGAGGTTTGGTAATGACCCTAGACATGTTGTACAATGCTGCACATTTCTCCTCCCAGCTGCCACTTTAACGAGCAGATAAAATGGCCTCAGCTGAATAATTAATACTCCGGCCCATTAACGAGGCATTAGAATGCTGGCTTCTTCTTATCGATTTTTCCTTCCCCGCCCACCCCTTTCTCTTTTTTTGATTTTAACTTGATAGCGGTGTCTGAGCCAGGCGGTGTTCAGGCCAGATCAGGTCTTGATGGGCTCAGGTTGGTGGCTGTTGTCAGTTGTGTAATTATACAAGTAGACTGACTGATTTAAGTGAGGCTTAATGGCCGTTCATACTGACAATGTTTTGCAAGACAAGACAATGCAAGATAATTAATTTTCAATGAAAGTTCAATGAAAAATCTCCAGCAATTGCTCATTACGCAACAAAGTTGAGCTCAACATTATGTAAATGTGCAGTGACAAAATGTGGTGCAATGAATGCAGAAAATATGTTAAAATTAATCAATACAAACGAACCCAATCCGATTCCAGATTCTGAAAGTTATATACCATGAACTTTGCAATTCGCATTTGCAATTGGATTACATCTGTTCTGTACAAAATTTTGTCGCATTCGCAGTGTCCAGTCGCAGCATTCAGAACTGTCACAAGTTTAGTTACATGGCTAAGGTGACATTACATTCTTGTTTCCCCGGACACGTCCTGATTGGGATTGTCCGGTTTTTGGCTTTGTTTTCCTATTGTTGTGCGTTCTAAAGTCCTCATACAGTCTATGCACACATATTTGTATTACTTTGACCATTTTCTGTTGATCCCACCTTCTCACATGCCATGATTCATTGATTAGGTACAATGCCTGCACACTTTTGGTCAACTTACTTTTCAGTCATTACCTTCAGCAAGCATGAATAAGAAAACAAAGCCAAAACCCAGACCTTTTAGGCAATTTAGGCATCCCAGCCAGGACATGTCTGTAAAAAAAAAAAAAAGAAAAAAAGAAAAAGAAAAAAAAAGAGTATGCATGGTCACCCTATACATGGCTAAAATTAAGTTTTCTTGTTAATTTGACAATTTAAAGGTGGGGTAAGCGATTTCTGGTAGCCAATGTTGACATTTGAAATCACCAAATGTCTCACCCCTATTTTGATAGCTCCGCCCCACACATACGTACGCAACCCAGGCAACAATTAGTTCTGTGAAACAAAGCAAAACCAATGTTGTGGCGCGGCGTGACAAAATACTATGGACCTCATTATAATCAGTGATGCTGTCTACACCATATATATATATATATACATATCAATGGTCTACACTGGATGCTGTGCGGCGTGACATGACAAATCCCCGACAGAAAACTGCTGCTGCGTTCTATTTATGACGTATTGACACAAATTTCAAATGATTTCAACGGTCGCTTTGTCTCGTCCAGTGTACTAGACAGACTTTAGCTGTTGTGGCGGCGCAGACACGGTGTTATTCACCTATCGAGAAGAAACAAAGCCACCTCGGCGTCCGATCGCAGGCCTTCCGCTCCTTGAGTTCTCTCCAGCGCTGGAAAGCTGATCCGATATTTACACGGGTCCTACTTCTTGCCTGAAGCCTTCTTTTGTTCCGCAGACGTTTTCCTCTTTTGTTCTTTATCCGCCATCACTATCTTTCTGTCGCTCATCTCGGCTAATGTCTGTCCTGTGCACTGAACGCTCTCTCCCCCACATCATGAGTAGACACGCCCCTTACTGCTGATTGGCTACAAGTTTGTTTTGCCATCAGTTTTCTAAAGCGTTTTTGAAAAATCGCTTACCCCACATTTAAGGTCTACACCACCCCTTTTAATAAGATCAAAATTTTATTCAGATCAAGCTCAATCCAGGTATTTACATGAAGACTTTTCCAGTGTTGGGGGTAACTCATTACAAGTAACGTGAGTTACGTAATCAGATTACCTTTTTAAAGTAACGAGTAAAGTAATGCATTACTTTTTAATTTAGAAGGAGATATCTGTGTTACTTTTTCAAATAAGTAACTCCACAGTTACTTTGTTTCCTATGTCTTGACTGACAGCTCTGGTGATGCCATGTTGAGAGAAATCGGGCCCCTTACTGCTGATTGGCTACAAGTTTGTTTTGCCATCAGTTTTCTAAAGCGTTTTTGAAAAATCGCTTACCCCACATTTAAGGTCTACACCACCCCTTTTAATAAGATCAAAATTTTATTCAGATCAAGCTCAATCCAGGTATTTACATGAAGACTTTTCCAGTGTTGGGGGTAACTCATTACAAGTAACGTGAGTTACGTAATCAGATTACCTTTTTAAAGTAACTAGTAAAGTAATGCATTACTTTTTAATTTAGAAGGAGATATCTGTGTTACTTTTTCAAATAAGTAACTCCACAGTTACTTTGTTTCCTATGTCTTGACTGACAGCTCTGGTGATGCCATGTTGAGAGAAATCGGGAGTAAGAGCAGATGCGTTGTTTTGTGCTGTGTGAACTTGATGCTTACTGTAATTCTAGACTATGAACTACACTAGAAATGTGAACATGCATTTACTTATCTCACCTGCACAAAAACAGATTCAGTATTCCTCAAAATGAATAAAAACAGTCAAACTCAAAATATTATACAAACCTGCAATAATTAAATATGTTAAATAAGACAAATATAATTTATTTAATCCCATTTTATTAACCTTTGTCTTTGTAATTTGTCAGGGGGTAACGCAATATTGTCATGCATTACTTTTAAAAATTACTTTCCCCAACACTGGACTTTCAGACTGAATAAGCCATCAATAACTAGGTATTTGGTTTCATGTGAACATAGCCAGTGACAGTTGGATCCTGCAGTTCCTATTAGGTTCCATGAATTGAATTGGTGTCAATGAGCGCCCCTTAAGTTTAAGAAAAATTTAGCATTATCCCATTTCCAGCATTTGTTTGCTTGGCATAGTGTTCTGAAACATTGCATTAATGTTTTACTCTGTGCGGTTATTCTTACTGTTGACCGGTGGGATTGAATAGTAAATTAGCAGAGAAACCTCAGCAAAGTGAACCAGACATTTTGTTCTGGACTGGTATGATGTCTCATAGTAAAATCTTATTGGTCCAAAATCTCACCCCACATTGTTGGTGATTTTGTCAGATAACATTTCACATTTAATGAGGATAAACGCTTGACATTGCAAACTTGTCAAGAGTTTTTAAAGAGTTTTACGAGTTTAGTTTGGATTCAGACATGGACGAAACACTTAACTTTTCACAAGTTTTTTGGAACAGACCCATTTTTCGAAATGGTATCTGACTCCGGCCTTTCCTGTAAGACCAAAGGGAAGTCAGATACTCAGGTCAGAGAGCCCCACACAAAATCAATTAATATCTAGACAGAAAGGAACAGAGGTCAATGAACTGATATCAATACAACACATCATCTGACAGGGACACCCCTTCACCCTCCTCGTACCACTTACTACTTATGGACACAAAAGAGGAAGAACTGGTGTAAAATGCTGAGTAAAGGAGGATAGAAAGTGTGTAAGAGAGATGAAGGAGATAAATATTACCAGTGCCGGTTGTTGAGCAGGGCAACTGGTCGATAATGAATGTGTCCCATTACAGAGCGGGAATAAGAGACTTCTGCTGACACCAGCATCTACCTCCAGACCTCCTGCGCATCTGATAATCTTACAATCAAACGCACACACACAACAGTCTTCACTAACATTTAATGCAAAGTGCAGATGTATACAAAGCATTTCCAAGTATCCTGGAGTTACCTTGTTCAATGGGTCAATGATGGCTAAAGGCTTGAACCAGCAATTTTAAACTTTTCAGCCATGAGTAATAGTGTCTACACCATCCTTAAAATTAACATCGAAACTGATGCAAGACCAGCGTCTGTCATTTCGGCAAGTAAGTCTCGCTCTGGGATTAACTTGCTTGTTGGTCGTGGAATAGAATTTAGGTTTAGGATTTGGGTTAACCATCATCTAGTTAGGGATAGGGTAAAGGTTACAGATTGGATCGGTTTTTCTTTAACAGGGGTTTTTCTTCTTCTCAGGATTAGCATGCTTATCATACATGTGTTTTTCTTTTCTGTCGGTATTTACAGCTCTTTGTTAATAATACAGTATCTCTGATTGTTTCGTAGTAAGAGACATGTGGATTGGCAGCTTGCCTTGAGTGACGGCCAGGTGTTTCATAGTATCTGTGAGTCTGATCATCCATCAAAGCGATCGATCACAATCCCAGCGGTTTTTATTAATGATCCTGTCAGCTGGCGCGCTCCACGGTGCCCATAGTTGTCCAGGATGATAGATCTTTAGCCAGCCTGCCTGTTATTTATTCTCTCATGACCGTGTCCATATCTATTGTTGAGCACACCAAATTATGGGGGATGATAATTCAGTGTTCATCTTGCCGTTTTCAAAAATGTTGAGCTGGAGTGTCAGATCATTAATAAAACCAAATAAACAATTGCTGTTGCATAAAGGCTTTGGACAGAGTTATGTCAACCACTAGTGTCTTTAAAATTCTCCTTACATCTTTTCTAAATGCATATTATAGAACTTATTGTAAATAGATCATTTGTGCATGTTTTATTTAATTTGTTTTGATCTCATAGTTATTTTACAATCCTGGGTATTTTATGGTGTCCTTGTTACACATGTTACATGTACTTACTATTATAATATCAATAAATGATGTATAATTACATGCAAGTAACCCTAAGCCAAACCCTGATCCTAACCCTAAGCATATAGTAAGTACATGTAGTTAATTCATATTACGCAGTACTTAAATGTATAATTACACTGTAACAAGGACACCTTAAAATAAAGTGTAACCAAATAACATATAACCCAATCCTGTTCTGCATGTACATACTACTTGTTGTAGTAATTACAATAATTGTGTAATAAAATAAAATGAAAAAATGATCCAACACTGGTCAGATTTGAGTCCATCACCAGCACAGTGCAGGTCTTTTTAAGTCCAGAAAAGTTCATTGGATACTTTTTTGTTCATTACCATATTAATTAAATGCTGGGAGGTACAGGGTGGAATTGGTCAATTGACTATTTTAGTCTTTCTTCTAAATTTCATCATTAATTCAATGTGTTACTTGCCATTCCTTTGTAATTATTTGTGAAATTTACAAGCAATTTCTGAGTTTCAAAGTAAATTCCACACCAACTTCCCTGTTATTCGCCTCCTGGTTGTGGTACTTTACTGTTTATTTCTTTGCTCGTTGTGTGAAAGCTAGAGATAAAATAACTGTAGTAGTAACAAAGTAGAGTCCAAATAATTTTCACACATAATTTTCATAATAGTTTTTTTGTCAGCAACATTTTTTCATCATCGAAAATGAGACTAAATGTAATCCAGATTTGAAAGACAAAACTTTGACAAAAGTATTTTTGTCAAAAACAAACAAAATTATGTCAAAATGCCAGTATTGGTGAATATGATTAAATGTTGGCTGTGTCTTAAGGGAACGTAAACAGTTGGAAAATATTGAACGTGTATTAGTATAGTGGATCCTTGCATTCGGTCTTAATGTGACAGCAGCCTAATATACCTGCTACTGCCTGTGTCCTTAATGTTAATCAAACAACAAACAAGAAAAAGAAAATCACTCACTGCTGTTGACTGAATCACTGTAGTACATTTAATAAGGATTAATCTAGATAATATGCTTGTTTCATTATGATAAGTAGTTTTATTTCATTTTAAGATAAACAACGATGTTATATGTCATAATTAAATCTAAGTCTATATTGCATGTTCAAACCTTAATCATTTATATTACCATTTCTCCAAGAACATATAATGAGTTATATATAATAGAAATTTTGGAGAAATGCTTAACGCATTGCAATTTAACTAAACCCATTAGATTTTATTCATAAAAATCTACTGTAGACTTTAGTCAACTAAAACTAAATCAAATTTTGCTGTCAAAATTAACACCGCTAGCTAAGACAACAATCAAAAGTGGTGTATAGGAGTCACACGAGAAGATTTTTAATTTCATCAGAAATTAAGATTTATCACAAAGGTGACGTTTGAATTAATTTATTGGTGATCGATGAGCTTGTGACCTTGTGAAACTGATCATAAACAAAGCATTTTCTCTAATACTTCTAACCTAATACTTATAGCCTATAACTTCTGAAAATGCAACATTTACTTGCATCCTGTTATAACAAAACATGAAATCAAGCTTTTGCAGTTAGAAACATTTGTACAAATATACTTATGTAGACCATGCTTCTTTTACAGGGCCAAAGAAAGAAATCTTAGGTTCTGTACATTTTGTTGCAGATGGCAAAATCATGAAAAAAAAATTATTTTTAACTTCATAAAATTCAACTCTGGGAGTGGAAGGAAATAAAGATGTGTCATAATTTAATGCTGCATGTTGTTTTATATGGAACATGTGGTGAAAATGTCTTCAGGCAAAGCAAAGACACTAATGACTTTGTGCAGATGTGAAACGTCACAAGTGAAATACACACATAAATACATAAAATGACAAAAAAACCTCTTGCATATCCTATAACGCAACCGCCGTCCTTTATGCTGGAACTTCTGTTGTATAAAACGCTGCCAGATACATGGAATTCGATTAATTCCACAAACAATGAAATCAGCATGAAATAAAGACAAATACTAAAAGGCAGAGTGGAGCGTTGAGCTAATTAAATGTTTTGCGTTCTTGCCTGACTCTTGCGGTTGTCTACAGTACAGGCCTGGAGCCGTCTTTATTATCTTATGTTTCTTTGTGTGTGCGCGAAAATATATTTTTATTCTGTTATATCTTCTATATAAGTCCCTTCCAGCAAGGTGTCTCTCTGTTAATGCCTCCTCTTTTCACTCCCTCTCTTTTTCCTCTTCCCTGCAGTGGTTTGAAGATTTTGAATGCACTTCACACTCCAGAATATTCTGCTTTTCACTGTAGCCACATTCTCTTAGCAAGTGTGTCTGTGTGCAGTGTTTGTGTAACTTTCAGCTCATCAGCTCCTCTCTTTCTACGCCTTATGACATATATATAGAGTGACGATTACGCAGGATGACAGCTGGAGTTACGGCGCTGGGGAGTGAGCATCTTTCCCTGCGCATGTTGCTCTTTGCTGGGCTGTGCTAGAGGGGCTGGGACAGGTCAGAAGGGCCGCCACAAAAAACACACGCAGCATCGCACCAGCAGGGCAAAGCACTGCTTCCAACACCCCCACACCATATGGAGCTCACACACACATAGAGAAAGAAAAAGCCCTGAGCTACTTTCTGTAAAGGGACATGTGTCTTCTGACAGAACTTACGTTCAGGCAAAAATAGTACATTTGGCCAACAAAAGTGACATTTAAAAAAAGTGAGAGAGAATGAAGAATAAAATAAACAGGCACTGCTTAAACAGAGCATGTTAGACGTTGTTTCTTTCTTCTCACCATCATCGCACCAAAAACACATCTGTTCTTGCAGCATGCTCCTAAATGAGTTCTTGTCCATGAGTGTGTCTACGTGTGTCTATTGTTATTTATACAGAGGCTTTTAAAAATCCTCTTGAGTCTAACGCATGTCCTGAGGGATTCCAACTCGACGTCTGACTCAACATGCTACACGTACGCTGACGCAAGCCCAAAAAACACCTCCAAACACACCGCTGTGCTCCACAATAAACTACTTGCAACAAGGCTGCTGGTGCATTTCATCAACATTTCATCACCTGCCTGTTTTTTTTTGAGTAAGTTGAAGTGTTTCTTGCTAGATGCTGATTGACACTAGAAAATTCTGGTCCTGTCATATCGAATTCAGACCTCTAGGGGAGCTGTAGAAGGAGAATTATGTAAACTAGTCTGGGCTTTTGTGAGCTGTTCTGTGAGATTACTAAAAACAAACAAAAAAAAAAGTAGTGGTGACAGAACAACAAATGCACTGGTGATAAATGGTAATTTTACAATGGCTAGCACTAGGGCTGGGTGGTATGGCCAAAAAAATTATCATGATAATATTTTTCATATCAGTCGATATCCAGTTATCACGATAAATGTCAAAATTGATTTCTTTCACGTTTAAAGGCAGATTTATTCTCCCGAGTGAAAGTTGGAACCAGACAGTTTCACAGGTTTTAAACTACTGATGGCATGATGTAAATTTATGTTCATTAACAAAAACAGTAACATCTGTAAAAACTGTAACAACTTCATATTTATAGGGTAAATGTAAATATTCGGACTGTTCGAGTTAGGACTCTACTTAACCAAATTAACCATTCGTCATCTATAGTATCACACAATTAGATCATGATAACCAAAGATAAAACCACACATACCACCTCACTACTATGGTAAAATGTAACTATATGGTTTCTATGGTATTTGTATGAAAAACAGTAGCCTAAATACATGTAATATAAATACAAATGCACACATGCTATAGCTTAATAACAACCATTACTCAGTTTAATACGTGTCTACGATAAAATTCCATATTGTATATCCGGTGAAATATTAATATTGAAATATATATTGTCTGTGCTGTTTCATTGGCTTTAACATTGTTTGGTTCCTCTTTTGGTGCATAAACATTACATCTAACATTAATAGAACATGTTATCGCTCTATCAAGGGAGAAATATTTTTTGATAATTATTGTTATCGTTTTATCGTCCAGCCCTAGCTAGCACCTATTTAATAAATCTTACCTTTGAGAAAATCAGTCAGAACTGCTGGGATTGTCACGGTATTAATATACATGAGGTAAGATAAGTTTTATGCATCCACTTTTTTTACTCTTTCTCAGCATGTCTCACATTTTTATTTCCAAGAATTTGTTCTGTGTGAACAGCCCCTTAGTGAGCTGAATAAACTGCAGTGTGGACCGAACTTATTCTAAACTAAAGTCTGGTTCAGTGAGGATATGAGTTACCTGGCCCAGGCCTTTAGCTGTGACAGAGTCAAAGTCTTCCCCTTTTTCAGCTGCACAACTGCAGTGACCTTCTGACCCCAGGTTGGGTCTGGAGCACCAATCACAGCCACATCTAAAGCAAAGAAGAAACGGTGCATATTTATTCCCTTGTCCATATGTACAGGTGTATTTGTGTGAGTGCTTGTGTACCTGTGATATTTGGGTGGGCAAACAAATGTCTCTCCACGTCTAGCGCACTGATCTTGTATCCTCCGCTCTTGATGATGTCCACTGATGTGCGGCCCATAATCCAGTACACGCCATCTCTGTAGAGTGCAGTGTCACCTAAAAGAGCATCCAGAGTGGTCAGAGATCCCTTCGAGTTACACCTGCCTCCACACCGCTCTCTGGTTTAATAGGGGTCTGCGCCTCTATTAAATCGCTGAAGAGTCCATATGGGGCCCAAACAGTGAGGCAAACGGCTGTATAGTCTACATCCTCCTACTACAGCTGTGGAAGGGGGCAGCAATAAGAACATGAGGGTTGTGTGTGTGTGATTGCTGCACGTTCTCCTCTGCTGAGCTCTAATAATAGCCTGTAGTCAGGCTCAAGATCTTCTGCTTGCAATCTTAAAAACCAATTGCACAGAGCTGCTCAGCTGGAGACTGCTTAATTACCACCCCATAACACACAAACACACTGCAGCCATCAGCAGCAGGAGCAGAGTGGAACACCCTATACACACCAGGTGCAGGTTTACAGCATCACGTTTCCTCACTGAAAGAGTGCTACAAAGTGACAAATGCAAAGCCAATCAAAACTCGGATATACAGCTATGTGGATCTGAAACAGAATCTGACTCAAATGCTGAAATTAATGAGGACTTGTGGATTTGTGGCCTTTCTTTGCATGTGTCTCTGAAGTCCAAGATTCCGTGAGTGTGCCCTTTTTGTAATTTGATGTTTCAAATAGGTGCTTACAAATAACCTCTTTGTGGCCATGATGCACTCTTTTGCAAGACCCAACCATGGATACTGTCATAAGCTGCATCCAAAAGTAGTAGTACAGAGAATGTTGTTCCTCACCATTTAACAAAAATGACAACTCCTCTCCCACAGCCATGAGATAAGTGTCCAAAGTGTCCACTGGATATACTTGCTTCAGAACTAGTAGGTCATCTGGGTATTTTTATTTTTTTGCCATTTTTTTATGAATACTGCTTATTTGGACTAACCT